TGGAAAATAATTCTCGAACAAATTATACTCATTTGACGTCATTTGTTTTGTTGGACACTGATGATATGGAAGTTCATGACACGATAATGTCTCTTAAATCTAATAGTGCTCCGGGATGGGATAATATACCATCTAGTTTCTTAAAATTAGCCACTAATGAAGTGACTCCCATCATAACTCATTTGGTTAACCTTTGTTTCAATAAGGGCATTTTTCCTTCTTTACTAAAGCAAGCTATTATCACTCCTGTTTACAAGAGTGGTGCCAGAGACGATGTCAACAATTATAGGCCAATTTCGATTTTGCCCTGTATCTCTAAAATAGTAGAAAAACTAATTAACAAAAGATTAATATATTTTATGAACAAATTTAACATCTTATCTGATTCTCAGTTTGGCTTTAGGCAAGCAAAATCTACAGAGGATGCTGTTACAGCTTTAACTTCATTAATTGTTGAACAACTTGATGTAGGTAACAAAAGTCTTGCTGTCTTTTTAGATCTAAAAAAGGCTTTTGACACCGTCTCTGTCCCCATTCTCGTACAAAAGTTAGAAAATATTGGCATCAGAGGGATCCCTCTTTTACTTCTTAAAGATTATTTATGTAATCGTAAGCAGAAAGTAAAAATAGGACAACTGTTGAGCGAAGATTCATACATAACTTATGGCGTCCCACAAGGCAGCGTTTTGGGCCCGACTTTGTTTCTAATTTATATTAACGATTTGTGTACCTTAAATATAAACGGGGCCAGGATCTTTGCCTATGCTGATGATACGGCTATAGTTTTCAATGGGCCTACGTGGGATACTGTTCATGAAGCTGCAGAAAGAGGACTCCGTGAAGTTGCCTGTTGGCTAAGAGCAAACCTGCTTTCACTTAACACTGAGAAGACAAATTACATTTGCTTTTCAAAAAATATCCGATCACAACCTTCATGTAACTTTACTATTCAAATTCATTCCTGCAAAAGCACTACTTATCAAAACTGTAGCTGTCCTATAATCAACAAAGTAGCCACGACTAAATATCTAGGTATTATGGTTGACCAAAGACTTTCGTGGCACTCACATATTGAGTTAGTTACTTCCAGAGTCAGAAAATTAATATGGATTTTCAGGAATTTAAGATATTCAGCTTCGAAAATACTATTAACTAAAATATATGTCGCATTAGCCCAGTCAGTGTTGTGTTACTGTATCTCAGTGTGGGGTGGAGCCTCTAAAGTTAAATTTCTGGAAGTGGAAAGAGCACAGAGGTCACTACTCAAAGTGATGTTCTTCAAATCATACACATATCCTACTCGTGAATTATACTCAGAAAGCAACATTCTATCCGTTAGACAATTATATATTTTATGGGTTGTTTTAAAAAGACATAAAAATTTGGTTATTGATTCTAACATAGTAGATAAAAGAAGAAATCGTGGTGTTCTTATGCTGCCTAGGATCAAAACAGCTTTCGCTGCACGTCAGTACAAAATTCTGTCAGGACGCTTATATAATAAAATAAACAAAACCATAGAAATCTATCTATTGAGTTATCATCACTGTAAATCAGTCTTAACTAATTGGCTTAAGTCGAATAAATATGAGGATACAGAAATGCTTTTGGAATCAATCTCCTGAATATGAAACACACACACACACACACGCACATACATACACTCACACACACACACATACACACACACACACACAAACACACACACACACACACACACACACACACACACACACACACACACACACACACACACACACACACAAACACACACACAAACACACACACACACACTATTTTACTAACAAATATTGTAAAACTTAATTTGCTATAACAAGTTACTTTTGATGTGGCTATGGAAGAGCGAGATTGTCTGTCACAGGTGTTTTGTACACTTAAAAGGCGATCTCATCCTTATTTGTAATTTGTAAACATTTTGTTAATGAATAAAATATTTTTTATTTTTTTTATTTTTATTATAGGTACTTAAACGTATGTCTTTAATTAACTTTATCGTCAGTTCGAAAAGTATCTTTCTAATCACGATGAAATGCAAGATAATGGATAATTCAACTAAAAAATGGAACAAAAATTAGACTGGATGTTCGTTTATTATCCAATTTAGTTTAAACTAGCGACTTAGGTACTCTCGCTTTGCTCGGCTGCGTCCCTATGGCACGCGGTTTTTGTTCACAATTTCGTGGGTTTTAATTTTTTTGCGCGGAACCCTGATTCTTTTTCTAAAATAAAAGTAGCCTAAGTTACTCTGCCAGTGAAAGTCTTGTCAAAATCGGACCAGCTGTTTCGGAGATTAGTCGGAACAAACAGACACAAAAATTTTAAAAATGGTTTTCTTATTAGTAGGTACCGTACCCATATACTATACATACTATATATAATATACCTATACATTTAGTAAAAAGCTGTTATTTTGAGATTTTCAACACACTTCAATTATATTGATCAATTATACTTAATTATTGTGCCTACCTATACCTATCGAAAGATTCATTGTTTTTAAATAAAAATATTGTAACGTACCTATCTGTTTTGTTTAATTTAGCGTTTAAAAGAATAACGGAAAACATTTTTTAACCCACAAATGGGTTAGTCCGGAACTAAAACCGGTTTTATCACGTCTCGACTCTCGAAGCAGTAATTACGTGTGACCCGACATTGTAGTGCGAGCCAACTTGCACTGGAGTAAGATTTTTAATTTATCTACCTGTTGATGTTCATTTTATAAGCGACTAGAAAAACCCGCGGCTTCGTCCGCGTTCAATGTACAAAAAAATCTTTGGATTTATGTTATACAGAAATGTATTTAGGTACCTATATAGGATAAATAACTAGCGGCACCTACGTTTTAACGGTTAGTATGGAATAGACAAACTCTGCCAAAAATCAAGTCAATCTGTCAACTCACCTTTTTATATGGAGATTTTTTAAACTAAATTTTTCATTTTTCCGTTCAATTTTCTAACATTTCACACAAACCTTGTTCTGACAATCACAAACACAACAAAAAATAATTAGCCAAATAGCAGCAGCCGTTCTGAAGTAATTCGCTTACATATATTTGGCAAATTGCTTTTTATTTACATAGTTGTACAATAATGTATGGAAGTCTGCCTGATTTGTTGACATTTATGATTACTGATCCGCTCCCTTATGTAATATGATGATATATATCTAGCCTATAGCTCTCCTCAATAAACGGGCTACCTAATGCAAAAATAATTTTTCAAATCGGATTAGTAGTTCCTGAGATTAGCGCGTTCAAACAAACAAACAAACAAATAAATCATCCTCTTTATAATTTTAGTGTAGCTTTAGTTTTGCTCTTTTTATTGTTTTATAGCCACGTCTCAATGTTATTTGTTAATCAACAATTACCTAAGTCTTATAGTCTCAAAGTCTAACGAATTTATGCAAAAATTCAAAGATGCTACGTACGCCTACTTAGGTACTAGGTAAAATTAAAGGAAATAGGAAAATTCCATTAAAATCGCTTCAGCCGTTGTAGAGTCCATTGGGAGGGGATTTTTATAGGTTTACCTATAAGAAGGTGTATAGAAAGAGCGTATAGTTTCAATTTTCGCAATCAGCTAACTTTAGAGAACCACTTATCAGAATAAATTCCTATGTAAGTCGTAAACGTCTCTATGTGCCAAGTTTCATACAAATTCGTGCAATGACTTTCAAGTGATTGAGTAAGATACATCCAAAACATCTTTCACATTTACAATCTTAGTAGGATAGGTATATTAAGTATAATATGTTGTTGTTGGGACATTAACACGCAGCACCATCTAGTTCCATGGTAAGCTACGAGGCTTGTGTTATGGATACCAGATAGTTGATACACTACACATACCTATATAATTTTTAATACATACATATTATAAATATAAACACCCTTGAGTGGAGTACAAGCATTCGTGCTCATCACAAATGAATGCCCAGCGGGATTCGAACCCGCGCCGCTGGCACAGCAAGTAGGGTCACTACAAACTGAGCCAAACGTGTCGTCAAGAATATTAGAATTAGATTGACGCAAAGAAAAGGAATCTTTAACTTGCGCTAATTAGGTACTAATTATCTTTTTAGATTTACACCGTGTCACTGTGTTTTTGAAGTGTAAGAACTAAGAAGATACGTGCTTCAGAAACTCGTATTTTAAATGCGATCAAAATCGTCATTTGCAATTTATTCGTGCCTATTATCTGAGGACTATCGTATTTATCTCCTCGATCATAGCTCACGACTGCGATATGGCATATCACGTTTCAAGGAAGGAAAATAGTGAAACCTTGCTTTAATGTATAGATACTGCGAAAGACTTAGCTTACCTAGGGTACCTACGTCTTGGATAGGCTTAGATATAATATGGCGATGTTAAATTATAATTAGCTAAAAAATTGAGTAAACTGACTTTTTGTAAGAAAAATAAAATGTCACTGCACTAGTATGGACACTGTACAGGCTGTCCGTCCATTCAACTGATAAACACCTAATGTGTTATTAATACCTGCCTATACCTACCTAGGTATTTAAAGGGTTATTAAAGTTTTTTTTCAATCTAAACTTAGTCTATCTATCTATATTACCTATACTACTTATATAGAGTATGAATTAGGGAACTCTTCATTTGTATCTACCTATATAGTAAATTGCACGTATGTTATGGCGTTTTAGTGTAATTCGTCAACGTCTTATTTGTTACCTATGAGTATCAATATTTATTGATATTTCATTTTGTATATAGAGTCCTGGTTTAAATAATATTGTGTATAAAATTGGAATAAAATAAATGTTTATATTTATTTGAAACACATTTACAAATTGTAAACTTATTAGTGTTTTCTGAACTAACATTCAGTATTATTGATAAACAAAAATTCAATATCCTGTCGACATTAAAATAAAACCCCCCAAAACGATTTAATTACTATAAAATAACCGTTGAATGCAGATCAAACGTCACATTGTCATTGCAGACACGGCGCAGGCGGCCATGACGGTGGGCGTGGCTAACGTGCTGTGCGACGATCGCCCCGCCCCTCTGGCGTGGCCCACCCCCGCGCCGCCCGCCGCGCCCCTCTGGCAGTACCCAGGTAACCTCCCACTCACTCATGCTCGCCTGGTAACTACGCGCCAAGTGCATTGCGAGAGCGTCGTTTTAGCGCTCGCCCCATACAATGCCACCTCCTGTAGTGTTATGTAGCTTTGGTACCGGAATTGCAATCGAGTTTGTACGTTGGTTTCGATTTCGAATATCGATTTTGAATGATGTACCCACGCATTAATAATTAGGTAATTGACATTCTTTTGACCTGCTCCGGTACATGATTGATTGAATGTTTGTTTTGCTACCGTAGTTTTTGTTATTGATTTATGTATTATTCTTGATTTTAAAATAGATTTTTGATTTGATAACATGTTAAATATTTTTATTTATTATTTTTTCTTATAAACCATATATGTACTACTTATAAAGTATATAATTTAAAAATGCCATAAATGATAACGAATTTTATAGGTACTGTTAAAGGAACTTAATTCCCAAAATCAACTTTTCAGGACCACATTCCAATACGCGTGTATAATTTGACCGACTATAAATGATGTAATCAGCCTCCCACTACTTTTGGTCTAATTTGTTTTTTAAAGGTTTTTTTTTGGCCGACACTCGATCCCGTTTATTACGGCCACCGGCTTCTTTCAACGCTTATTTTATTTTTGTTTCGTAATGAACTAGCGTGCGCCTGTGGTTATTTCGTGGACAAAGGACGTATTTTTTTATTTTATTTTCGCATTAATCATTTGGTTATCTATTAAAGAAATTTGATAATGGTTCGTTAACTTTTTATGACTTGTTTTGGTTTGTGTTATATTTTTTTCTTATTTTAACTAAGTAGGCTTTTAACCATTATGGAATTTTTAATAATAGTAATAGTGGTAAAAAATGTTTTTTTTACAATTTTAATATATATTTGTACTTAAAATTCATTTACAAATAAAAAAGCGGTCATTGTAATTGGTAACATGTATCTGAAATCTACAAAAAACATATAATTTAAACTTTTCTTTAAGGTAGAGCCTACTCTAGGATAAAGGAAAACAATATTTAAATAATTAAAAGAATTTAAAATCATAAAAACGATTTATGTAGTGCATTTTTCAACTAGCTTCTGTCTTGAAATTCTTAAAATTTAAGTACTTTTTTTAAATGTGCTACTATCTAAGAAAAGAAGTATATAAGTAGGTACTTACTAATACTTCATTATATATATTTACTTATGCATATTAAGTTATTAATAATTAAAATAGTTTAAATTTATTTGGTTTAATAGACACAAGTTATGTACCAATTTAAATGAAATAGTTAAAAAACAAAAAAATAAATGGTTACAATTAACTTTAAATATTTTTTAAAAGTATTCGAATATCCAATATCGATGCGATAGCTTCTTAAAATTTTTATTAAATAAAAAGACGATTGAAATAACTAAACTGGTTTTAAAAATTAAAGAGCTACAATTTAAGCATCACACCATAAAATATTTTGAAATTTATATCTTTATAAAAAGTAAATTCCTGGTAAACCAAGATGTTTTTATCTAATAACTTGTTCTTGTAACAAAATATGATATAACATTGTAGTGACCGCGTCAACGTAATTCGAAACTGTTATACACAACCTGTGACCACCTATTTAAATATAAACCAACCCGGCTGATTCCATCACCCGCTAAATCGCTTCCCACACGCCAAGCGGAACTCGTGTCACTCCCAACCCATAAATTATCCATCATCCGAAAAAAAACATGCAAAAAAATATCGTAAAAACTCATTTATCGATAACTCCACTCGACTTGAGACAGCCCTAAATTTTAGTCCCGCCTCCTAAACTCCGCCTATTCAACGTCTCAGCCAATCAGAAGCAAGCGTGTATAAAAGGCCGGACCTAATTAGTCACCGCCCCTTATGTTTTTAGTGTTGTGAATTAGTCCTTTTGTTTGTTGTTTTTTTTTAGAGGCGATTATAGTTAGTCTTTACAGTTTACGGTTATGAATTTGACACCTCACGCGATACTATCAAGGGAAAAAACTAAAAAAAAAATTAAAAATACGATTTTGATTGATAATCTCAATTTGATAATAATGGGGGACGTTTAATTATGTATAATTATTCAATGTCCGCTTGTTAATAGTCAATAACGTGATATTCAAAGGGTGAACGGCTATTTTATTCTAATAATTAATAAACTATTAGGCTAATTAACAGCTAAAGAAAATCGGTTGGTGAACTCATTTCGTCTAATAACTAATTAGGTTTATGAATGAATCTATTTAGTACCTATACCTAAGTAAAAATATTAGATATCTTACCGCCTTCTGCGTTGTTATTTATTGCACGTGGATACTCAAAAAATATTTATTATAGACATAGATAGGTTTTATTTGTATACGTAATATCTCGAGCCCCTAATTTGTAATTAAAAAATTAACATCTACTATGTCACTATGATACCTAAGTAGGTTAGGTTAGATGGGTACGTTTACTGTACGAAAACTAACGGTAAAAACTAACCGACGTTATTACGTGATTAAGTTTCTACATAACTGAGCAAAACTTTAATCTCGTTAACTAACCAATTTAATGTCGCTTTAGTAACCAATTCGTTAATCCCGTTAATTAACTTAAATGTAAACTTAATCGTGCTTAAGTAATAAGTATTTTTGTTAATCCACCCTTTCTACGTAATAATAGATTTGTGGAGGCTTAGTGGAGAAATTTTTCGTTAGTCCCTTGATTTTCACTATTTAACCTATATAGAAAGTTATATAAATAAAATTAATCAATGTTATATTTGTTTTGTTAACCTAGGTATCTATTTTTAGTGTTAGTGTAATAAAGATATAAACTTAAGTAGGTATTTGTACACGGCTTTGTTCTCGTAAAACTTCCGGATCAGATTTCATTGAAACGGGAGTATCTAAACAATTTGTAGGCTTCATTCGCCAACATTGTTATGTGGTTTGTTTTATTTGTGGGTAGATATATGCCTAAGTTGGTGCTTATATTAGCATTACGTACATATATGCCTAAGTGATGAGATATAATAGTGGTTATCAGGTAACATGGATACCTAAGTAAAGAACTTGCCTTGATTCCTATTTGAATTTCAGAGTTTGTGAAATGGGAGTTTTTATCTTAATTTGCTACTATTGGATCATCAGATCATGGAGATCAGAACGGTGATTTTTTATCAAAAATAACTGAATAGAAATAGTGATGGTTACTTTTAAAAAATAAATCTTGACGAGATAGGACTGGACTTGTGGTATAGGTACCTATATAACCTACCTATCTAAACAATATATTGATTTATGTAGGTAGGTACCTACTTAGGTTCACCTAAACGGGTTGTCTGATCTACTTAGGTCTGTCTGACCTACTTAAAAGGGTTAATTATAATTTATTTTTATAAGTTACCTTTATGTGGGTTATTACCATTTATTACCTATTAGTAAAGCTGAAAATATTTCCAAAGTAATCATTTAAGAGAGAAAGGGGAGCTGGCTCATTTTTCACCCAAACAATCGATATTGCCATTCATTCTTTCATTCATTCTCCCCACAACTCTTCGCGGACATGACTTGTACTGTAATAACTAAGTGTTTTATATCTATCTATACACATATATTTTTAATTTTCTGTATTGTAATAAAAAAAAATACTTTGGAAGAAAACAAAATTAAGTAGGAGAGACCTACCTAAGTACTTAAAAAACTTAGTACCTATCTACCTAATTGTTAGAATCAGGTATACCTATTACCTACCTATCAGCTGATAACGATTATGGTTACATAAATAATAACACATTTAAAATAGCTAAATGCGTAGGTAGGTATGGCAACTATTTATGAAACGATCATAAATACTGGAATTTTAAAGCCGGTAGCTGTTTATTAGTTATATCTAAAAGCAGGATTCAAAGAAACAAATGTATATAACATTGTCTAAAATAAAGGGGAATCCCTTATCAGGATACCTACTTAAGCAATTCAAATTATGACAGTTTTAACTTTTTTACAAATAACCACATCAATTCACGTCAAACATTCTTGCCACCATTAGCATTCTTTACAAGTCCATAACTAAAGTTATTCGATTAAACTCAAATTGGGCCAAAACAAAGAACACATTAATAATTTATGAAAGAAAACAATCGTTTACAAAAATCGATTCGTATGCGATGCGTCATTCCTTTTAATGCTAAGTCGGGAGATTAAAGAGGTGCTCTTCGGGACCTCTCTATGATATATCTGTCGCTTTCTAACGCGTTGATATTAGTTATACCCATCTCGCTCTGTTATAGGGACGAGGTACGAATACGCCAAAGCGATTATCGTATTTCGTTTCATTTTCACGCCTTGATGATTTTTTCGATGTTTGAGCACATGTTGGTTGATTGTTTTGTTAGTAGAAATAATTGGTATGTTATTATAAGGTTCGAACCAATTAATTGTTTATTGGAGTAATTATTGGGTGCGGATTTGAACTTTAACGGTACGTAACGTATGATTATTGTAATAAAACATAACTTCAATATGTGAAAATATGATTACTAGTTTTCACTTTACTAGGTAATTGATCTATTCTAATATTATAAAGAGCAAAAATGAGTTTTTTTTGTTTGTTTGTATCGGATGGGCTCCAAAACTACTGAACCGATTTAGATGAAATTTTTTAAGAAGATAGTTTGAGACCCTGGGAAGGACATAGGATAGTTTTTATTCCGTAAATCATCGCTTAAGGGTATGAAAGTTTGTATGGGGAAGCAACCTAGGGACGAACCCGAGCGAAGCGATGGTGAGTCGCTAGTTTCTTTATATCGACATGAAAGTGGATGGCAATAATAGTAATTTACGTAGAAAATTCGTAAATTTAAGACTTTTATTAAATTTACGAATTTTCTAACTCACAGACACTACACAGGCTAAACTTGTAATTCAAAAGAAGCATGATATTTTGCACATGAGTTCCTTATTAGTATAAATACAGTGAGGAAGAAAGGATTTTTGAAAATTCATGAATATTTGTATAGGAATTCGTCATGTAAAAATAAGAATCTGGTTTTATTGGTTATGGGAAAAACCATTGAGCTCACTAGAACTTGTAAGTCATTTTTTTACCTCATGAAATAACGAGTTTTATATCGTAAAAATTATATTTGTCATTTATACGGAAATCCTTCATTTTCTAAAACATTTCGACGACATTAAGGATAATAATAATATGGGGTATTTAATATGTATTTATACCTATAGTTAAATATTTGTGAAAATTGGAATAGTGGGTACCTGTTGTTTAAAATTTAATGCCAATTCGAAAGCAAACAATGGCAAATAAGTAGTTTTACAGCACAAAACATGTTTTATAGGTAATATTAGGTATATATAAAGAAAATTGTCAAGAATCATAAGAATCCACGTTTTTATTCCCACCAGTACTTAGCATGTTCGCCGCCGGAAGTACGTACGTTGAATACAAATGGTACTTGCCAGTAGTAATGCAGCTACTAGGAATTTTAAAAACAGGTTCCCTGTAAGAGTGCTCTTTATAGATTAATACGATTGATTAGATAAAATTCTAGATTCCGAAATACGAAAAAAATGGGACAAGTGCGAGTCTGAAGCATAACGAGTGTTCCGTAGCATCAAACTTTAAATTTTTATTGTATTTTTACTCAAGGAACTATTTTGGGGTAAAAAATAAAATAATCTAGCGTTTCAAATATGAAAAATTTCAAAAATATAAGACAGCTACTGTTCTCAGCTATATATGTAGGTACTAATAGTCTCTGAGTACCATAACGACAGATGATCAGATGGGCATGACGAAAATAAGGATTCCGTTTTGCATTTTTCCTGCGGAACCCTAAAAGAGCTAGATTGTTATATAGCTATATGTATTACATATTATACGTTTATCTTATATATTAATTAATTATTATCAATATAGTAGATAATATGTACCTATATATATTTACTTAGGTAGGTACTTTTATTCATAGATTTTTAGCTGACCTCTTTAGTGTATTGAATTACTAGTTGTGCCTATCCCGAAGATACTTTTATAAACAGATAATTAATATTTAGGTATAGGTATTACGGAAAAGTCTACTACCATGTCGCCCAAGTCATACAAAAATAACAAACATAATTTCACAGTTATAATATGAGTAAGAATTAATTGATAAATCTATCACATCAAGTACTTTGATAATACATATATGAAGTGCTTCGTTACAACTTATAACTAAGTATAATTAAATAGAAAATGTAATATTGATATCTATTTTGCGTAGTTTGCTTTGCATTATTTTATTAGTGAAATTAATGATAATGTCGCCAATGTATTATTAATATAATAGGTTAATAGGTTTTGCTGTTGCAATAATAATACTTTTGCACTAGTTAAATTTTAGCTTTTGGCCACGGCTCTGCTCGCTTGATATTTGCGTAGATATTTTGATAAAAAGGAAAAGGGTTTGATCTCTTCAAATTATATATTAATAAATACTATTCTGTACCTTGCAATGTACCTATCTGGTTTATAGTGCCAAGATAATACCGTAAAACTGGAGCATAGTGATTTCGTTTAGAAGTGCCTTTAGTTAAAATTTTGCGCAGATACTTAACATAGTTTTCTTTATCTTGCAGCTCAAGTATCAATGGAGAGTATGATGGTGGGAGGCGTGGGATCAGTCGGCGTCGGTTCCATGGGAAGTGGGGTTTCCTCGGGATACCAAGTGGTACGCGAGCCGTCATCAGGAACAATCCTATTGCTGCCTACACCAGAGTTACCACATGCACTCGTCTGGGGAGGAGTTCCGTATCCCTCGGCTCCCCTCCTCCTACCTCCCGCCCCACATCCTTCTCATCATCTCCAACTTCTACCAGGAGACCTTCTGGCGTCTACCGCCACGTTACAACACACTCATACTCATTCCACCAGACTCGTTACTCTTGCTCCAGCGCCTCCTCAACCTCATCCTCAACACACAGTTGACAAAAGGAAACCAATTATCCAGCCCATTATCCCACCAATAATCCCACCACATACCCTCATCAAAATAGAACCTGGGCAGCAAGAAAAGCCCCCAACGTTTGCCCCGGAACCAGTACAACAGCCGATATTGACTACACATTTGTATTATCAGCCTGACTTTTCCGAACAAGCGTGTCGAAGTCAGGCCACATCGCCTGCAGCACCTCCTACACCGCCTCCCGAGGCCCCTGAAGTCCCGGCACATAAAGATGCTTCAAATCAAACTGATCACATTGAGGATGAAGATGAATCCCCAAATCATGCAGATGAGGATGAACGGGATGTAGCATGTGTCGGTGTCGCACATTCGCCGGAAGATCAAAATGTAATGCAAATGCAAACGTTACAAACGTCTTCGATAGATAGTGCTGAAGAGTCCTCTTCAGAAAGTCTTGCAGCATCATCACTTGCGGTAGAAAAAGCGATTGATGCGATCGAAAGGGATGAAACTATAGACAATTCTAGTGGAGGCTCTCATGAGCTGGTCATAGACACAACACGATCGTCCACTCCGCCTCAGGCGATCCCGCAACCACAGACAAGGCCACTGGACTGCAGCGGATTAGAATTATTATCAAATTTAAGTATTGAGTTTGAACGAACTACTCCGGGAAATAATATGCCTAACTTAGAACCTTCGCCTTTAACAATTGACACAAGAACTGCAACAAAATTAAGCATAATGAAAACCTCACCTAAATCTCCACCACGTAATGATGTGGATCCGATGAATGACCAAGGACAGTCTATTGACCGACTTAGTTTATTATGTGCTTTAGCCGAACAAAGGATTAGGGAAGAAGTAAAAGAAGTCCCACCAGTAAATTTGCCGTCAACATCTCGACCATATATCAAAACCGAACCACTTCTTAGTCCCACTGAAATAGAAAGAGATGTTTCTGAACCGAAAAAAGAAAGACAAAATAGGGAAGATTCATCTAATGAAAGAAGAAGAAAGAGAAGTCGTGACAGAGAAGAACGATTACGACATAAATTAGAAAAAATGAGACGACACAAACGTGAAAGGAAAGACGATGAAGAGGAAGAAGGAGGTGAATTAGAAGCAAGCTTACGTCGCGTAACGGCGTGCTCTTGTGGTTTGACAAATTGCTCACATTCCTCTGGCGTGACTTCAGCGCACGATCTTGTTAATGCAATAGAAAAAGACATGCGAGAGCGTTTACAAGATTTACAAAGACAGTGTGATGAAAAGAGAGCACAGTTAAATGCCTTAACACCACCTTTACCAGCTTTATCGACACCATCAACTCCATGCACTCCCGCTCTCTCACCAGACTCAGACAGGGGATCGTCCAAAAAACGTAAAGTTGGGCGACCAAGAAAAGTTTCAAGTCCGGACTCTACTGAGACTATTGTTGCAAAAAAACCTAAATCCAAGAGCAGTCTTGTTGGCTACTTGCTAGCAAAGGGCAAATTGAAAGGAAATATTTTGTACTCAAAAGGTGAACAATCGCGAGAAGATATTAACAGGACAAGTAAAGTTCGACCTAAACTGAAAGCAGAACCAATTGTCAAGATGTATTCTGAAGAAGAAGAACAAGAATGGGGCCTTAATAGATCAGCTAGTTCTTCAATGGAAAGTCTTAATGAGGTTCGTCAGAAAAATAGGGAGAAAGTGGACCGGCTAGCGAGAAAACATTCAAGAGATGACCTCTCAGAAATAGAGTTGGCTATTCGACGAGCGAGTGCGTCCAGTGATAGCGATAAAGAACGACGTCGTGCGAAAAAGAGACGAAAGAGCACGAAATCAAAAGAAAGAAAAGATGAAGAAGTGAAAGACACGCAGACAGAGAGTGCACCTCAACCTCAAGTTATTTCAAAATGTACATTAACAGAGGATAAATTAGATTTATCACCGCGAGTGCTCACAGCTAGGGGTGGTTTGTTCTACGCGGGGAAGTTAAGTGCAGTCCAAGCGCCAGATGTATACGCTATAACATTGGATGGCGAGAGGGGAAACAAGCCTCATATACTATCGAGAGAGGAAACTTTAAAAGATGCAGTAAGTTTCTACTTTTAATACTAAATCATATTACTGTACTTTTTTATATTTTTTTAATTTATGACTATATAAACGATTTTTATCTTTAAACTTAGTCAATTCATAATAACTGTATATTTTACACAGAATAAAAAAAATCTGCAACTAATTTCTAAAATAATAATATCTAAAACAGGTCACAATACCTTATAGTTGTGTAAAACTTTTCAAGTTTATTTTATAATTAATTTTATCAACCAGATACTCGAAGTAAGTCCAACATCGGTATCAGAGTTACCTTCTGGCACGCGAGTATGCGCGTACTGGTCTCAACAGTATCGGTGTTTATATCCTGGAACTGTGGCTGTGTCTTCACCAGACCCTCATGATGATAAGTTTGTTGCTGTCGAATTCGATGATGGGGACTCTGGGAGGATAGCCATCGAGGATATCAGGTTCTTGGAGCCGAACTACCCAGTTGTTGGTAAGTTTCTGGATAGATAAATCTTGAGATTCCGTTGCAAAATAAGATTTATAGGCATTAGAAATGTTTTCTTATTGAAGATAGGGCTTTTATTTATAGCTTTTTAATAATGTTTCAAGAATTTGATTATTATCTCACTCAGCCTATTTTATAATTTTATTTAAATTGCTGTTCCAGAATACGAAAACACATTGTTCACGCTCGGAAAAAGACGGCGGAACACGAGTATGACAGAAGATAAAAAGACAGCCGCGTCCACCAGCAATGAAATAAAACCCGACACACAACCGACAGACACACAGACTCAAAACGAAGAAGAAGACAGACATAGAGACAGAAAGAAACTTAAAAAGCTCAGAAAAGAGAAGTTAAGACGCTTAACAAGCGAAGATGATCCGTCATCTATGGAATATGTGAAGAAGAAGAAAAAGAAGCACAAGTGTTGTGAAGAACATTGTAAACACAGAAGACATCACAAAAAACATCACAGAAAACACAAAAAACGACACCACTCAAGCTGCAAAGAACATTCTTCATCATCTGGTGACGATCACAGACAAAAGTCATCATCAGATTATATCGATTCAAACAAATCTAATGAAGACTCAGTCGATTCAAACGACAGGTTATCAACGTTGATAGCTGTTGAGAAATCGCCAGAAGAAAAGATGAAGACTGTTATTAAAAAGGCAGTGTTGTCTAAGAAGAGTTTGGTTAAGAACGCGGTACTAGATTTCAGCAATATAGGCAAGATTGCTTTAAAGAAAGATTCAGAAACTAAAGACAATTTGAAAGATAGTGGCATAGGATTGGAGGAAGACGCTCCGTCCACTTCTACTACTGCTACTGCTGTGGAGTTATCTAAGAAGGTATTTAAATATTTTAATTTATACCTTTTCATGCTATGTACACCAAACAATATTTTCAAATAATAATACGTTGCCATATTTTGATGACTGCTTCATGAATGTTATTAATGTATGATGTTATGAATCCATACATATGTAACTTTTCTTATTAGGTACATTATTATTTACTAGAAGAACCCGCGGCTTTGCTCGCGTTCAAACTACAAAAAACAACACTCTTTGGCTTTATGTTATAACTTATAGTTTTACAATAATATGTGCCCGATTTGTTGACATTTATGATGACTGCTCCGCTCCCTTGGGTAGTAGCGTGATGATTTATACGACCTATAGCCTTCCTCAATAAACGGGCTATCTAATGCAAAAAGAATATTTCAAATTGGATTATGTAGTAGTTTCTGAAGGAGATTAGTGCGTTCAATCAAACAAACAAACTCTGCCTCTTTATAATATTAGTATAGATTATTTATTATTCAAAACTCATTTATAAAATACTAGCGACTTACCCTCACTTCGCTCGGATGCGTCCCAAAGCTTGAGTGGTTTAGGGACGCATAAGAGACAAATGTCCAAAGAAAAAAAAAATGTTTTTGACCGGGAAGCCTCGCAGGTGTATAGAGAATAAGCCGGCAGAGTTTCATTACAAACGGACCAATGAGTCAGGAAGATATGAAGGACAAACATACAAATATTCATTTCTATTTATATGGAATTGTCCACCTATTTAATTTTATATTGTTTTAAAGTACGAGAAATTAATACCTAATCTCACAATTGATTATTTTTCATACAAAAAGACATAATCTATACCTACTTAATGTTGTAAATGCGACAGTAATTCTCGGGTGGAAGTTTGTATGAGGAATCAATCGATTCTCAAGTAAAGGATATGAAACACATCATACCTATGTATATATAGTCTATCTATTCCATACTAACCGTTAAAACATACCTAGGGACGAATTCGAGCGATGTGAGGATGAATCCCTAGTCCTATATTTTTATCTATATCTTGTTATAATTTTACTAACAAACTGTATGTAATATGTATACTAGTAACACCATATATGATATTACTGTTAACTTGTTATAATTTTATAATTTTTATATAGTCTGTCATTATATGATAGTGCACGCGTTGTAATATATCTCTCTACATTCCAGAAAACAAAGAAACGCACAGTGTCGTCGACGTCGTCGGACGGCGGCGGCGGCGGCGCCGGCGTCAGCAAGATGGCGGCGTTCCTGCCGGGCGGCGCGCTGTGGCACTGGCGCGGGCCCGCCTACCGCCGCACGGCGCGCCCGCGGCATCGCAAGCTGTTCTACAGGGCCATACAGCGGGGCGAGGAGGTGTTGAACGTGAGTTCATATTTATTTTATTTATTTATAAAACTAGGCGACTCACACTCGTTTTTCTCGGGTTCGTCCCTAGGTACGTTTTATTTCTTTTGAGCGGAACCCTAATACTTTTTCTAAAATAAATGTAGCCTATGTTACTCCCCATAATATCAGCTATCTTCCAGTGAAAGTGCCGTCAAAATCAGTCCAGCCGTTTCAGATATTTTCCTGAACAAACAGACAGAAGACATTTTTAAATGGTGTTTTTCTTTTAAGTATATAATTTCATATGTATTTATAAAAACGCTGTTATTTTGACATTAAAAACAGACACTCATATAGTCATAATACCTATAAGTCAAATTTTCAAATTAATTTCCCAACACACTATGATGTATATACTCCTCTTTTGTTATGTTTGCCTGGTATTGAAGGTCCTAAGATAATGCAAAGGCTGTGAAGAAGTTTTTTTTTACTTTTCGATTTTTAGAGAGAGTGCTTTGTAGTTAGTTAGTTGTTATGTTTGCCTGGTACAAGCAGATCCCGATGAAATGTTTCAGAATAAGTCGTACAAATTTGTGAACGTTATTTTATTAACTAACTATATACCAAACAAAGCAAGCAGCAATATGTATGTATGTACATAGATTTCGGATTTAAGTTGCTCTGTACATAGTTATGTTTCCTGGTATACGTAAATCATTAGAAAACTTAGTACGTATATATATATATATATATATATATATATATATATATATATATATATATATATATATATATATATATATATGTATGTAATTTTTAAAGAACATTTAAAGTGTTTTTGATTTGAAATCTTTGTACAAACAACCGCACCACCAATGAATGCACTCTATTCATTTTACTCTCAAAGTCCGATGGGACGATACTTCAACACGACCGATGAGAGTTACATAGCAGGACTGACTGACGGCTTTACGTGATCTCCGAGGCACGGTATATTGTATGTATGTATTTAGCCCTTTTTAACGTCCTACTGCTGTGCAGTAATCTATTGGAAATGATTCGCACATGAAAATATCAGATGTGAGTCACTCACCCGGGATTTGAACCCGTTTCATTCGGTTCGGTTTCCCAAGTAAGCGCGTTACGACTGGGCTGCCACTGCCACGGTATATTAATTACCTGATATCCCACAGGTGGGTGAAGCTGCAGTATTCCTATCGACGGGTCGCGCAGACAGACCTTACATCGGTCGTATCGCAGCCCTCTGGGAGGCGCGCGGGGCGATGGCAGTGCGAGTGCACTGGTTCTACCACCCCGAAGAGACTGTTGGTTGCGAGGCTTTGGAGTATCCTGTAAGTGTCATTTTTCCTTCTAATTAATGGTTTTAGGTTTCCGTAACCAAACAAAAAATCTCACGTTCGTCACTCTTTATGAAACGGCCATTTTATTAGAGGACTATGGGAGCTATGTAGTTGAAATTTGGTTGGTAGGCGTCTTATCGATAACAGTTCTGCAATCAAATTATGAAAAATAAAAATATTTTGTTGTTTTGTAATAATTGTATATGAGCCATAAAAAACCAGGTCTCAAAGGATATCTCTGAATAGGCCTTTAAAAATTCGATAGGCAGAGTTATATGCAACTAAAGTCGTAAATATTATATGCCTAATCATTTTTGAAGTTCTATAGGCAGGTTTGGATGGGGTGTAAATTCATGTAAGTCGTCATCGACATGGTCATGTGACGTGGTAACGCTAACACTTAGAGTGCCGATAGATGTTAAAACCAGATAAATGTTACAAATTTTAATTTAAGATCAAATAATTTGAATATCCACATATAACAACTGTTTATTTTTAGTTTTATGTTTTCACTTGTATCGGCAGTCCTCATGACTGCTTTTTTTTAATCAATCTATTATAAAGAGTTAATATTTAACTTCCAGGGCGGTCTCTTCGAATCTCCCCACACGGACGAGAACGACGTGCAAACAATATCGCATAAATGCGAAGTGTTACCACTGGCACAATACAAGGAACGTATGGGCGACGACCCCGTCAAGTACAGCACTGTGTACGATAACAACGACGTGTACTACCTTGCGGGACACTACGACCCGACGCAGCAAACGCTGAGAATGGAACCCGATATACCCGTAGTGAAAACCGCCTAGCAACCTATGAACGCCTGGTACTCGCGATGGAGATACGCTAAAACTTTATTTGGTTTCATTGTATGTAAATTATTAGAGGCCTATTTTGTGACCATTCAATCTTCTATGTAGATATGGTCTCCTGGTACTTCTTAGGTATCGATGTACTAAGCAGTTTATTTATTTTTCTGTATCTTTCTTTAGAAAAGACAGACGAAAACAAAGAAAGAGAGAGATATATACGTTCAACTATTTCAGCTCCTTTATAGTTATGTCGTCCTGGTACTTGTAGCGAAAATATGCACAGTCCTTGCATATATATATTTATATTTTCTTTTCTTCACTCTCAAGAAATTACATTACATGTACGCCTGGTACTTGTAACATTTGCAAAGGTCAGTTTTACAGTGTACGACGAACTGTGAAGCCATCTCTGTAGGTGATATGCTGCTCTGGTACTTTCAAATATATTTCATACGTAACCGACCCAATAAAAATCGACGATAAAATAAATCAAAAAAGTACCAGCGATAAAAAATGTTCTTACCGAATGAGCGCTTATTTGAACATTCGAGCACGCTTTTAATATTATTTTTATCGTAAAAACAACTTTAAGCTTTGAATTTTTAAGGTTCAATTTACATTGTAGTATATTCATTTCAACTAGAATTATTATTAATTACCTAAACACTTGGTGACAACTTTAAGAGAACTTTTGGATGAGATTGTGTATCTAGATCGATGCAATAAATAATAAAATAATATATGTATGGATTTTCCATAGATTCTAAAGTTTAAAAATCTCCTACAAAGGTATGGTAGCCTGGTAGGATGAACGTATATATGTTGGCTTTCTGATTTATTTAATTAAACGTAAAAGAAATAATTAATATTAATTAATATATAAAACCTTTTTGTTTGTTTCAAAGCAATAAATGACATTTAAATGAAAATAAAATGCTTGTTACAATTTACAGGTGCAATTAAACGATTTTGATCGTTTCATATATTTTTCTTTTTCATATTTATAAATTAAGTACACGTAAGAATAAAAAATAATTTCACAATAATGTAAACAAAGACATTTTGAATTTATAAATGAAATGTGTTTATAAAATTAAAACAATATTTTAATTAACGCAATATCGATGTTAGTGAGTACATTAATTGTTTGTCCACCGGAACCGGAAGTGGCTTTGAGAATCACTTTATACAGGTCTTAAAGTACAACGTAGTGTTGATTGAGGCTTAAATGCGTGTGACAAATCTTTCACGTCGACGTGAACGAGCACGCACATACACGTGCGTTACGTGTTAAAGTTACCCTTGTTACGTTTTAGCGGTGTCCTTTTGGAATGTTACGTTTTTCACTTGGATTTGTACGGGCCGAGTTGTTTGTGTCGGGTCGCGGGGAGAATGGGGTGATATGTGATTTATTTTTATACTTGTAACGCTATAATCTCAGTGTATAGGTAGTTGTATATTTTTATTTAGATGTCTATATTATATTCTTTCGTAGTTTTCTTCATCTTATTGTCTGTCTAAAATGCAATATTACTTCAGCTAGTCCCTTATTTCGTTCTAAATTAACCAGTGACGATGATATTATTTAGTCATATTTTCAATAATTTCGCAATTAAATTTGGCGGTGCATGAAATTGTACAAAATTCGGAGCTGTTTGTTATATTAATTATTGTTTCTTTATATATATTTTTTTATATTTTTGATTGGTTGATAATATTATGTTATTTGATGTATACCTTATATCGAAATGGTGCTAGAAGCTTGATACTGTTCGTATAATTTTTGCTGTAATTAATAAGACTGTACATAGAATTGATATCCGATTTAGAAGGTGTAGGAATTCGTCTTACGGTGAATCTATATTCATTTGGAAGTCCGCTTGCTCTAATGTTGCCATTGTTTTATCTCTCTTCATAATGTATATTAATTCATTGTATTATTTCTACAGGGTATGATCGAAGCCCACTTTTTATCCTTTGTTTTTTATTCATATCGAATATTTATGAAGGGACTGAAAAGACAGGGATATAGCTAGGTCGACCAAGGATAGGAATGTAGATAGGTTTTGTACGAAGTGGCCAAACAGTTTATAAAAAAATTGTAGTTGGAAAAGTTTTCAGCCGCATAAGTGTAGATACTCGGCCTCATGTCAGAAGCTACTCTAATGAATGTAGTGACGTCCTGATTTTTATGTGTGTATGAAAATATTTAATTTTGTGATTAATTTTGATAATAAAAATGAAATATAAGCTTTACAATTAAGCTATACGTGTTGGTAAAGCAACTTATTTTAATTATAATTGAATAATGTTAGGATTAACAGTTGAAGTTGTATTTTTCTTTAATTAAACTTAAATGGGGAAAATATTTAAAGGTAAACACTCACTTTCTCATCAATTTCTCTGTTTTATATAGAACAATAAATAATATCTTCCATTCTGAAATAATTATAAAAGATAATCATGTAAGGATTGTCAACATTTAATGCCGTTTGAAATCTATTTACTTATCTAGTTTGTTGTATCTTACTCTAGTTTATTTTATTTAAGTTCGTAATAAGTTTGTAGATTAAGGTTTTGTTTAATTTTTTATATATAATATATATTATTGGACTCTTAATCTTAAAAATATATTGGAAAGAAAAAACAAAATTTCGAATTTGGAAAAAAATATGCAGAGAAAGTGGTATTTTTATATAAAGACGAATAATGATTTTTAATTTTAAAAGATGTATGAAATAAGTACAAATTTGTTGAATGCGAGTCTTCTTAGCTCGGCCCCGTGAGTGTATTATGTATACTAATATTTTGGTTTAATTCATCAAAATTGAAACAGCCCTCTCGAGATGTACTCTGGATAATTTTACCTCGGGACTGTTTGTAAATTTAATGAATTATTCCCAACGACCTTAGAGTGTAATCAAAAGGGAAAGCCATACAAATAATTATTAGATTTAAAGAGTAATAATATATCAGCATTGATAATATAAAGATTATAAATACGCTTAAATAAAATATTTTTGGCTGAACATTGCGTTTTATTTATTAAAAATCTATAATTATAATTCCACCCATAAATTAATTTTTATCTTAAACAGTCAATTACATAATTTTTTAAAATCATAAATAACATTATTTTAATATAGGTACATTTTATATGATATATTAGGAACCATTTTTAGCGAAAAAATTAAAAACCTTAGAGATATTTCAAACAAATTTCTTGCAGTTCATATTAAAAAAGTTGTTGCCTTAATTTTCTCACTACATAATATTATTATAATAATTAGTCTACATAGTCTTATCTATATATTAAAGATATTCTAAGCTAGATAAAGGACAATGTGTAATTCTGGACTCATTTTCTATGGCAGCTAGCTTCAAGTATTAATTTAATTGGCAGAAAAAAAAGTTTGTTTTTCATAATGTCTTGGAGATGCTACATAATAATTTAAAAACTCATAACAACTGATAACAATAATACCGATACAGAAAACACCCTTCGCATTTTCAAATACAATGATTGTGATACATAGTCGATGTTATACACCAAAACCAATAACGAAGTGTTATACAGGATGTGTATAAGCGTTAGCTTTTATTACGTTTTACTTATCTATGTTAGACATGAGTCCAGGGTTCATATAATTATTTTCATTGTCCTTTAGTACAAAGGCCATTTAAACCTAACTAAAATATAGTTAAAGATAATCTGCTTCAGAACCCAGTTGGCGGTCAACAAAGAACTTCCCTTTTCCCGTTACTTATTATCTCATAAGTATCATCATCTATTATTTTATACACGTCCTGTCTGTAGTTTTGTAGATTGTGAAGGAAACGAATAGAACTTTCTTCTCGGATTTTAGTGATAACAGATGGCAGGTTTTTCGTGTTAGCTTCTACTGCGAGAGATGCGTAGTACTTTTCCTGAAAAGAAACAAAGCATTTTGTTAATAAAAACTAAAGAGTAGTTTTACAATAGGGGGTAGGTATATGACTATGCAGCAGTAGGTAGCGACTTCTAGTCGCTGGAAGGAAAGGGCATACGGAAACTTCATATTTATATTATAACATTTTTTTGAACACAGATCTCAAAAATTGAAAATAATATGCTTTGATATATCTACTGTAATAACAAATACCCTGACCATAACCCTCCTTTGGGCTTCGCCGCAGTCGGGTAAAAATAAGCGATATAATATAGATATATATTGTAATAACTATGCGTGATAAAATGTGTCATAAAACATCTATCTACATATAAAAATGAATTGCTAAATGTGTTGCTAAGCGCAAAACTCGAGGACAACTGGACCAATTCGGCAATTTTTGCCAAAGAACATTCTTATGAAGAGAAAATTGAAAAAAAAAACGGAAAATCGTGAAAACACAATTTCCCTAATCGGGCCTGCTACATATTCGATGTTTTGACGAACGAGGTCTGTCGGGTCAACTAGTTGAATATCCATACTAAAATTATAACGGTGAAAGTGTGTTTGTTTGTTTATCTTTTTTTTCATGTCGAAACGCCTTGGCGGATTGGTGTCATTTTTTGCGTGAAGATAGTTGAAGGACTGGAAAGTGACATAGGCTACTTTTACCGTGAGAGGTTATCTCTTTCCCACGGGGAAACACGTTATAATACAATCCAAAAAAATATTTATGATCAGAATAACTTGAAACTTGGTATAAATACTCTTAAATACAATTAAATAAATACGTGTTTTAGCATTTTTCGTAACTTATCCCGTAAAGGGGTAAAATAGCAGATAAAAGTTTGTATGGAATCTACCATTATAGAGGTTTCTTTGTAGTTTTAGCGCGAGCGAAGCCGCGGATTCTGCTTGTAAAAATATAAAGATAATATGCAAAATTTCTGAAGTCAATGTTTTTATCAAGGCTTAATTAACGATAACCCGAGTAAATGGTACAAAGAACTGGAAATATATGAAATAAATTATTGTCATATGTATTAAATGGTATTGCGACATCTAGTCACGCGCTTCGGGTGAAAGGATCAAGACGTTTCGAGCGCTTTATCCAGAACATAGAACATTCTATCGGTTCAAAAAGTGCTGTTATTTTGGTAAATAGTTATATAAATTTACATTTTTAACCTCTTGTTGTAATGTTTTTAATAAACAACTTTTATTTTCTGTGGTTTTCTTTTAGAGATAAATTATTTAATTTATTCGTTTTTAGTAATAAAAAAAAATTATGGTCTCCTTTTAAAAGTATTAAAACCCTATTGTGTTACTTTTGGGAGTTAAAATTAAAAATTTGAAAATATTATTGCTCAATTTAAAAAAAGTTATATATCTAAATAATTATTCAATAATTTAATGCTAAGCAAATTGTAGGATTGTTATTATCTTGCATAACGAATAGATATATATAGATAGTTAGATAGCATAAAATTTTATTGTCAGTCGTGTCATTGGCTCAGTGTGGAGTGGCCCTACATGCTGTGCCAGCGGTCGCGGGTTCTAGTCCCCCTAAGGGCATTCAATTGTGAGATAAGTACGAATGTTTGTACCTACTCCAGTCATGGGTTATATTTATAATATGTATGTATTTAAAGTTATATATGTGTAGAGTTCCAACTATCTGGTATCCATAACACAGGCCTCGTAGCTTACCATGGAACTAGATGGTGCTGTGTGTTAACGTCCCAACATATTATAAAATGCCATTATTCAATTTAATTTTTTTATAATTTTTATTATAATATTTAATTATTTAAAAAAAAAAATTGAAAAAAAATAATAAAGAATATAGAATTATCTGTTAATATTGGTTAGGCCAGTCTAGGTCATATGATTAAACATTTTTACCACATTGTTCTACATTTCATCACAATGGTATCCTTTTAGAACTTTAGTAGGAAAATAAACAGTGAGAAATAGAAATAATAAAGATGTCTTAATTACATAGTACTGAAAGATTATAATTATTAGATAAACAAGGCAGTGGTAGCCCAGTGGGAACGCGCTCGCTTGGGAAACCGAGTGCAGCAGATTCAAATGCGGAGTCTCGCACTTCTGAGATTCCCATGTGCAAATCATTTCCAACATGTCTTACGGTGAAGGAAAACATCGTGAGGAAACCTGCATGTCTGAGAGACGCTAGCAAGTTTTCGAAAGACATGTGTCCGTCAGCCGTCAGTCCGCCAACCCGCACTTGGACAGCGCGGTGGGCTATGACCTGACCCCCCTCGTATTGAAGAGAGGTCCCTGCCCAGCAGTGGGACGTTAAAAAAGGCTGAATACAAGTAACATAACACATAAGAATAAAGACGTCGTCTGTTAGAAAAGTACTATCTATTACATTTACCACTACACGTTTGTCTATCTTCTAGATAAGTAGGTATAAAAATAGCATTGCTTGAAAACAACTTAACCGATTTAGCTTATTTCATATAACAATTTTTTGTATTTTTTGTAATAAAAATTTTTAGATTTTGGAAAAGTTGACCGGAAAATTAGGAAATCCGGGAAATATTGAAAGTGCTATTTCTGTTAGATTTTGGTATGAAAAAATCTGTACAGGATGACGTCTTTGGGGTCACCTAGTAGGTATGTCTTAGTTGTCACATTAGGTACTTTATTATGTTTATTTATATAAGTATTACTTATACATATATATTATTTACTTACATTTATGTAATGCTTTTACCTCTTCTTGCACTAAATTGAATTGGTAGCTACATATTATACATTACTTTATTTCCCATGACTAGAAAAAATGTAATACTTTCTTAGATTTACGCGAATATTTGACATTTTAAATAAAACTAACTTTACGCGTTTTTTCGTGACCATGATTGCAGTAAAGCCTTCACAAACTTCGGGAACCAAAAATTAAAATAAATCCGCAAAAAAATACGAAAAGATAGTTTTGTCTAAAATGAAAAAAAAAAACTTTTGAAGACTTTACCACTTTTTCCTAGCATAATTTTTCAAAATGTAATCTTTGTGTTGTGTGTTATTAGGAAAAAATAGGTGAAAATCATTTTTAAATAAAAGTATCTTTTCGGATTATTTCGCGGATTTATTTTGATTTTTGGTTCCCGACGTTTCGAATGCTTTACAGCATCCATGGTCACGGGAGAGACTGAGGTGTTACATGTCTTAAAGATATAGTTGTTACAGACAGCCTACCCACAATTAACAAAATGAAAATTGCACCAATTACATTACAATATTTTTAACTTTAAACATTTTTTATAATTTTAATTATAATTGAATATGGAAAATTATTTATTTAATTTTTGCTATTATTTTTATAATTATTACAATTTTAAAAATATTAATTAGTAATCTATATTTAGTGTTGCCATTATTATATTTATAACCATAAATAAAAAATATAAAAATATAGTATTAATTATTAAAGCCATATAATTGTTCTATGTGTAATTTAAAAAGTTAAAATTAATTACGGATAATCATTTTAATTTAGTTTGCTATTATTTAAAAACAACTTACTAAGCAACACTATTAATATATACTTTTACAAATGAAAAATATTAATCTGATAAGCTGTCATTTTGATCTACACAGTATGAACTTACTACATCTGCCTGTCTGTTATGTTTATATTTATTATTTGATTTTATTATATTAATAACAGGATCCCATGACGATGGTAGTACCCAGCCATCTTCCCTATTGAAATTTGGATGTTTTTTAATTTCTATGGCTTCTCGAATCATTCTAGGGCGATATCGGTTTTCTTTCGCCAGGATTTGAGGTCTATCGAAACGAATATAATGGCTTGGGCGGTCCTGGCTATGTTTGCAGACAGCAGATGTTGTATTGCGACGGTGCTTCACATCAGCTATGTGTTCTTTGACCCGGGTTCTAATGGATCGTTTTGTTTGTCCAATGTAAGAGAGCCCACAATCACAATCAAGCTTGTAGACTCCTGCATCTTGTAGAGGGATGTGGCACTTGACAGGTGGTAAGAACTGACTAATTTTCTTTGGCGGCTTGAAGTAAGTTTTAATTGAAGCTCGCTTTAGAATGTAGCCAATCTTGTCAGTGACTCCTTTCATGTATGGCAAGACTGCAGGGACGCGCTCGACTGTGGCTGGTTTCACTCGGTCACTGTGACGCAGGCGCGGCACTTGCAGCTTGTTGTCACGCAGAACTTGCTTGACATGTTGCAGTTCTCCGGCCAGGTGTTGCTCGTCACAGATCCCGCGCGCTCTCTGAAACAGAGATTTTCCCACGGTAGCTAACTGTGAAGGATGGTGGTGAGATTCACCGTTCAGGTACCTATCAGTATGGGTCTTCTTTCTATACACAGTATGACTCAAGGTGTTATCTGGGTTACGTTTAACTAATACATCTAGGAAAGCTAAGGTTTTGTCCGATTCTAATTCCATTGTAAATTGAATTTTAGGATTTATAGAATTAAGGTGTTCTAAGAATACAGTTATTTTATCAGAAGGTAATATTGTAAAAGTGTCATCTACATACCGCTTGTAGAAACGAGGGGTCACGGGTGATGTGTTCAGAGCAGTCTCCTCGAAGTCCTCCATGAAGATGTCGGCTACGACGGGGGAGACTGGCGAACCCATGGCCACTCCATCCACTTGCCTGTAGAATTCACCATTCCACAGTAGATAGCCGGATGTTAGGCAGTGTTTTAAGAGTTCAATGTATTCTATTGACATGTTGTGATCTAGTAGCTTCCTAGATATTATTTCAATACAGTCTTCCACTGGTAGGCTGGTAAATAAAGACTGTACATCGAAACTAACCATTGTTTCATTGTCCATGAGTTTTAGGTGTTTAACTTCATTGACAAAATGGTAAGAGTCCTTTGTGAACGCTCTTGTTAATCCTCTGAGTGGTGAGAGTACTTAATTTGTAAGTCGGTGAGTCGATTTGACTCACAATTGGACGTAGCGGAGCGTTAGT